AGAGACCATAAAGAAAAGAACAGTTCTCCATTAGTTTTTCTTTTTAGTCATCTGCTAACATAGTCATGTTGTCCATTAATGTGCAATAATATTTACTCATTTTTTACCAATATGACAAATAAGCCTACACATGACACAAACCATTGGCTGTCACTGGTAACTATCCATATCCTCCCCAGCTGAAGGCACAACACAGTAACTGCTGGCCATCCATCCCAATCAGTATCAGTATTCTTATTGTGCATTTAAACAACAAACAGTACTGCTATTTTAAAAGAAGTGTAGGGGAGTAGTTGCTGGTAGGCTGTCCATGCCCCAGTGGATGCCCCAATTGAATGCACAAATGGGCAGCATTAATTAGACTCAATGAGTTATACTTTAAAAGTTTTGTTTTTCTTTAAGGAATGACATGATGTTGGGAAGATGTGTTTAGGGGTCTTAGGGGGAACTAAAAGGAGGGGGTTAGAGGTGGATATAGCCTAGATGCATTGCATATATGTATGAAATTATTTAAAGATAAATTTTAAATGTTATTCTTTTTTAAAAGTATTATTTATTCATGAACACAAAGGTAAGAATAAAGTCCTTGTATTTTCCTGAAAGCTGTCAACATGATCATGCCTTGAAGGCCCACACATGAATTATTCATCTTTTCTGACTCACATGTGACCACCTTAACAATGGTTCTGGGTCATGACTCTTTCTTCACAGTCATCTACATCTGATTGCTATTTAACTTATTAATTCACTAATAACAATAAAATTGGAACTATGGATAAAAACTCAAAAGCAAGAACCTTAAATGTGCTTATCTTCTATACAGACAATCATTAGATTGTCTTAGATTCTTCTTTGACAAATCATCATACTACCTGTATTAATTAACCAGACCTCAGGATTTTGGGCTTATACCACACATCACCACAACTCATTAAACCTACATTACCATCATTGGTCCTGGTTGGGACCTCTTTATTCACACTAATTTACATGTGTTTATTAAAGAAGTAATTTAATTCAATAGTCATGAATTTAAAAACTATGGTTCATGAAATCTAAGAGCAATAAGTATTCTTTGTGCCTTTAGGATTGTTGGCCATACTCATATCATGTTCTCTAATTATCATCAATGAATTTATAAGTGTAATATTTCATGCTAATTCCATATTTATCATTTTCCACAGTTGGCCTTGTTGGGACTTCTTTAAACTTTTAATAATGTAATAAATGCTTCAAGAAAAACGCACAAGCTTATGAACATTAATTCTCACTCACATTGGTCTCTGTGCTCTCCACCCATGAACAAGCAGCATGGCAGAGTCCTCCATTAACTGGAAAGCACTGTTCCTTAGAGAAAGAACAAAGAATGTGAGAAAGACTATCCCCAAATAGTCCTTTTTCATCCTCTTCACTAATTAATTCATTGAGATATTTATTAGAATTTTTGTGTCATAAGAACCTATATCAAAATGACCATCTTTGTATGTGACTGCATTTTTAAGTATGACACATGTTCATAACATTAACCATTATTTTTTAGTACACTGCCTATATGATCCTTAATAAAAAAAAAAACTTGGGCTTTTGGCCCATGCTTTTTCTTAACATACAAAAATATAAATAGTTTACACTAATATTTGTGCTTCCTTGCATGAATTCATAGCAGGGCAAGGCTTTGATTTATTTACTTATATATATGTTGATTAGTCTACAAGCAACTTACATAGATAAAATGAAGCATGTAAATAGAAAAATGAACCAAGGTCCTGGACCAGTGAGATGGTTCAGTGGTAAGAGGCACCTGCCACCAAGTCAGATGACCAATCTCTAGGAGCCACATGGTAGAAGGAGAGAACTGATTCCCAGAAGTTGACCTCCACAGGTATATGCTATGGGACAAACTGTTCCACTCTTTGCAAGACAAATAAATGTAACAAACAAGATCATTGTATATTCCTAACTCTCTTCCACACTATCATTAACAAGACAGGAATTGAGCAAGCTCATGTCTGTCTTGAGCCTCGGTCTCCGACACAGGCACAGAGGCACAGACAATGGAGTAAACCTATGCCATTAAGTCACCACCATTGGTCTTGCTGTGGGTCCAACTTCATTCTCATCTAAAGTTGTTTATTGGTTGGCTCATTGATTTACTAATAATAAATGAATTAATCACAAAAGCTCAAGGATGTCACCCTGACACCACTGCCATTTGTCTTGGGAATTAATCTCTAATTGAATAAGGCCCTCTGTATCAATTATCCTCATGGTTGACAATATCAATGAATCAAGGTATTTTATACAATTCCTATTCATTCTTTGGACCATGTTTGTCTTGGAAGAATTATATTTCCTACTTATTTTAATGCTACAATGAATATATTAAAAACAAACAATCAAACCAAGAACTCTGTTATAGTGAAGAGAATGCTCCTACCCTCAGAGGCAATGGTAGGGACCAGAAAGCTGAGGAACACAGAAGCCAGTTCGCAGTTCAGTCTAGGATGTCAAAAGCAAAACACAGTAAAAAGGAGATTAAGACCATGTTCATTTATCAAGTTACTTATGTGTATATGAATTTGAAGTAATATATGTTAATACTTATCTGACTTTGCCACGTATGTTATAGGCCTCCTACTCTCATCTGTCTACATTTGATGTCTGTGGTAGTAGTCACATTTATCTGTGTACAGTAAAAGAATATAGTTGCATAAAAACAATCTAAGGAAAAAGGTCCCTTTGCATTCTTGGCATCCACATGTAGGAGCCCTTTAAACATAAATGGTACATTTGATCTTGTCTTTGCTGGACCTGACAGCATCAAACAATGTACCCACTGTGAGATTCATATACCACCAGCAACAGCAAACATGGTAGGACCCATTTCTAGTTATTCTCGTCTAGCTTATTGTTTAATTAGTTAGTAAATCTCTCATGACATTATAATAAGTATCTATTAATTATTAAAAATTCAGTTAAAAAAAGCCTTGATGTTTTCTCATGGGCTTCTTGGGGGGTGGGGCTAGTTTGAGTACACGTTCACACTAACTATTCTTGCTGCTATATGCATTCACTAAGAATGGGCACAGACATACTCCTTTTTTTCATCTTTCCTTGCTTACTGTGTACATTGAGTAATTGGAATTTCTTAAAGGCAGGGACTTATATAGTTCTGTGTAGCCTCAACCTCACTACACAGTGAAGCGGACCCTTATAAAATTGAGACATTTCTTCCACTGCTCCTGGTATCTTTGAATCACTGTGAAATTACTTGGATGTATATTTCATAGTCTATTAAGAAGAACAAGACACCATTGAACTTCCATTAATCCAATGCAAGAATACCAGCCATCACTTAGATTCTTTGCCATTACTATTAGCCATAAGAAATACCACTGAACATTTGTCCTTTGGCCAATTATCACTATTTATTAGCATTAATACTGTTCATAGTGTTCTCTTTCTCATTTTGCTATAATTATATGATACTATGCCCCTTTCAAATTTACTTATTTATAATTATATATTATTCTTTATACTTTTAAATCACTCACAATAAAAACATACCTCTTTAACATGTCCAACCAAGTGTTTTGATTGTACATCCTCTTATTGATTTTCTGACTACAAAATAATCAAAACCTGTGAAAAACAAACTCAGACAAGAGTCTTATGAAATCACGAATCTATCTATAGCATTCATTCTGGAGTGGGCAACAGCTCTAATTATTTTCCTCTGGGGTTTCAGTGTTCCAGATGCACTTCACCACCTATGACTCACACCAGCAGTGATATTGATCCAGGGTTCGGCTACTTCATTTCTTATTATCCAGCCTTGCTTACCAATTAACTCACTAGCTACCGGTGAATAATCAAAAGTCTACAGACTAATACATTTTAAACATTAATGAACCTTGGCTAAGTCTTTATCTAGACAATCATCTGCTGCAATGATATATAACTCACTTGTGACCCATTAAGGTTTCATATATGGACTGACCAATGTAATACTACATACCAAGTCTATATTTACCATGGCTACTTTCATTCAATTGTATTTAATAGATTCCAATTAAAGAGTATATATACATTAAAACTTATACATTACACACTCTTTATAGATACACTAAAACTCACATCAGCCAGGCAGTGGTGGCTCATGCCTTTAATGCCAGCACTCAGGAGGCAGAGGCAGGAGGATCTCTGTGAGTTCAAGGCCAGCCTGGGCTACAGAGTGAGTTCCAGGAAAGGCACAAAGCTATACAGAGAAACCTTGTCTAGAAAAACAAAACAAAACAACAAACAAAAAAACAAAAACAAAAAACCCAAAACCCCTAATATTATTTTCTATGCTCTAAACCTATAGAGTTACTCACATATCAATGGTTATAGATGAATCTCGAACTCAGCTCAAATGTGTCCTTTTCAAGGAACACAATGTAGAACACTTCATTTAAAAAATATGCCCCTGTCACTCTTAAGTCTTTGCTTCCATGTTTATGTGATAATTGAAGTATTTACTTTTTGATATTTATATTTTCTGGATAGAATGCACAAATATGTTATTATTTATCAGTATTGAGAGGGTCATTAACACGAAAGTGTATTTTGACCAATGACCAACTTCTTTGTTAGTGCTGGGGATGGAACCAGCACCACGTGGACACTTAGCAAGGGCTTTAGCAATGACTGAGTTTCATTTCCCTGTGAACACAGACACATATGAACACTTGCCTTAGCCAAAAAGACAACACTCTTTAGCCTTTTCTTTTTTTCCCGTTAGTAAAATAATTGCTTTTACTTTCCTTTTTAAAAATATTCATACAAGCATATGATGTGTTTGGGTCGAATTCACCCCCATCCCACATGGACTTCACTATTCTCAACATCTTTTATCTTATGATGTGGTTTAGACAATTAGGTAAGCATCCACTCACTCATATTATTTATATATATTTCCATCGATCCTTCCATTCACTTTCAATAATTGTACTTCACACTTTTTAGTGATAGAAAAAAATCATTTTTATTGAAAATTTATTTTTATACAATATATTTCTATTACAGTATCCTCTCCACCAACACCTCCCAGATCCTCCCCATTTACACACCCAACAAAATCCATACCCATTCTTTCATTCTTTCATTAGAATAAAACAAGCATCTAAAGTGATGGGGAGGAAGAGGAGAAATAAAAAAAACAGAAGAATTACAAGAAACTAATTCAGATGCTGAGGCACATACATTCACATACATAGAAAACTCTTCAAAAATAAAATCAGAAACCATAATAGATAATCAAAATGTCCGTAGGGTAAAAAAAATACCCAGCAAATCATTGCACATCACAAAAGCTTCCAAAAATGCCATCAAGTTCATTTTGTGTTGGCCATCTGAGCCAACACATCTGAGGTTCCATTGGAGAAATACAGTTTTTCCTTTGGGAGAGGTTATCAATTACAGATAGCTTCTGGTTTAGGGATATGGGGTTGTGTCCACTTGCCCTCTTAGCGCTGGGAGCTCATCTGGCTTAGACCTGTACAGGCCTGTGCATGCTGCCACAGTCTCTATGAGCTCATATCTGCATCAGTTCTGTTGTATCTAGAAGGCCTTGCTTCCTTGGTGTCTTCCATTGCATAGGTTCGTACAATCTTTTCACCTCCTCTTCCAGAGGGTTCCCTGATCCCTGAAGAGAGGGATTTGATGGAGACATCTCAGAACTGAGTGTTCCAACATTAAAGGGAATACTTTTAAAAATAGCATATTCAGGCAAATGAGATGTTACTACTCTAATTAGTTTCAATGTGCCCACTACAGAGGCATCTGCCGCCGTCTTCACCACATTGATGAATAGGTGCACAAAACAAAAAAGGGGCTTGAAAATATGGTCCCACATCCTTGCTTAATTTGCTCCCTCATTCAGATGTCCATTAGCTTTCCTAACCCCAGATGACTGCGCATGTGTGCTCATCACTGCTATTTATTGGTCTATTGGTATTCATAATAATTCCTCCATGGACTACTTTTAATCATTAGCCAAAAAAAGGAACATTCTTAAAGATTGTTTTTTCTTTATTTCTTTGTTTCTCTGGTACTAAAGATAGAACCCAGGGCTTTACACATCCAAGGCAGAGTGCTACTACTGAATTAGCAACTGCCCTTGTCCCCATGGCATCCTTAACTGTTTTCATTGTTTTTAATTATGCTGATAGACTGGCTTTCTTCATGACATTTTCATAATTGAATGATGCTTTACTAATGATATGAACATTTGTTTACTGACCCTTTTTCTAATGTTAATATATAAAATTATAACAATAGAATAAAAGCATATGAACACTACCCTTGTATCTTTTCAACAGCTTACTAATAGAAAATTACCAACTGCGGTAGTAACTCAAATTTCCTTTGATTTAGACTTTTGAATCTAGGATATCTGGTATTCACCATGTACAAATTAGAGGTGGTGGTAACCAGGTATTTTTTTTATTGGTTCAGGTCAAACCTTGTACAATATTGTATATGAACATATGTTTATGGTTGATGACAGCTGCTGTTTACTGACCATTGTAAGCACATCACATATCTACATGCAAAATCCTCTAGGAAAACATTTAAAAGGTCATCTGTAATTATTACTCACAATTGTAGCTGGGATCCTAAAAACACAGGCAGCCTAAGAACTCAGGAGCAGGCAGGATCCATTTATTGTTCTGGAGCTGGCATTTCTGAGAAGTACAGACAGACAAGAGAGGACTGAAATGCTGTTCTGCCCATTCAGTTTCCCTATCAATTATCCAAACATGGTTACTTTCTCTTCAGAAATAGAAGAGCATTGAATTTTCTACTAATAAGCACATTGACCATTACTTCTGTGATCCATGTCATCAGACAGAAGGAATGTATTGGAACTGCTAATAAAAAGCTAACACTTCCAATATATTGTAGTAATGACTTCCATCCTCATTCTCTAACTTTAGTAATAGTATGATGCCCCCTGACTTACATTTCTATCTTACGAATCTATTGATTCTTCAGGGATTTATTTGCAATATAGCCAAAATCCATTAACACTACCAGCAAGGACATGATGTGTCCTCTATTCACACAATTGTGTAGAGAACCACTTCTAAGAGTCAGTGTGGACCTCAGACTTCTAGAATTGTAATTATGATGTATGACTCATAGGCTACCAGTGGTCATTGTTGACCCAAGATAGGTCTTTTCCTTTTCCATTAATTTCTACATTTGTTTATTAATTAATCTACAATTTTCCTAATAACATTTAGGTGACTATTAATCACAAAAATTAAGAATGAGATCCTTCAGCCATTTAGAGCATCTTTCACTAAATTGAGGAGATATCTTTTTTCTTTGTTGTGCTCAATTATACAAATATTGATTAATTGCATAATGTATGGTGTTCATGATTATTTCTTAGTCAGTCATAGTTGGCCCTAGTAGATTCTGAATGATGCTTAATCTTAAATCTTAAAGAACCTTAATCTTAATCTAAAGAACCTCCCAAACTAAGTCAAGGGATTTTACCATACTCACATTGGTCTCTCTGTTCCTGACACATAGGGTAACTGTGGACTTGGTGACCAGAAGATGAGTATCATTCAGAAAGCATCTATGCTGACAGTACAAAAAAGAAAAATTGCAAAAAATTATATTCTATCCATTTATTCTTTGATTTTGTCTTCCATTTTTAAGTCAATTGGGTAGGAAATATATTGTCATAGTTTGGTTTACTTGATAAAGTAATAATGAATACTCAAGCCCTGAACAAAACAAGGACTCCCCATTATTTTTACTAAATGCATTGTTCTTAGCTAGTAATACCATTAAGCCATTCATTTCTAAACACTATGTCTTCCATGCTTATTACTATTTCTCAACTGGCATGATTCCCATGCAGAACAATGCTGAGCTGCTTGATTTTTATTTATATATTTCCATAAGGATTCTTTAATTGACCCAATTTTAAAAACAAAATGAAATCCAAATATTGAAAGTATGAATAACATACTTGACCATACCTAACAAATTGTCTAGAATAAACACATATACACTAGATGCCTTAAGGTATGGAACTCAGACTTCCAGACCTGTTGTCATGATCCACGGCTCATACCCAACAAGATGTCATCACTGATCCAACCTTGGCCTCTAGTTTCTCTGATGAACTTATATCATTCTTTAGTAGCTGGTTACTTATTCTCTAGTGAAAACCATATAATTAAAACCAGCTATATGTAGGCTGTTTCATGCCTTTATATCAATCTTAATTTCAAAATATTCATTAGCCAACCAAGTGTTTCATGGCCACATTGTATTTCTCACTGGGCCATGGGTCCTTGGATTCCATATAATGCCTTTATGAAAATAGGGCAAAGACTTAAAAGCAAGACAAGAATTTTGACTCACGTTGGTCCCTATGCTCCATGAACCCGGTGATCAGTGATGAAGGCATCTATTCTGAGAGTACAAAATAAAACAAAATATGAAGGGATCCTTATTCTGTCTCTGTTCATTTGCATGTTATCTTTCATTTCATTAGTCATTCAAGAAAGGCCAACTCAAAAAGAGCAAAATGGTATATTTGGAAGTTTTTGATGTCATAATGCTTTGTCTGAGCAATTTTAACCTTACTGGTCTTAAATTTATATATTATTGTTTCCAATTTTGTGTTTTGTATGGGTTTGATGAGTGTATGTTTGTCTCCACATGTAGAGGTACTTCATTTGCTTTTTCTTTAGTTTATATGGCATCAGTTAAACATGCTGTCAGAAAAAATTACCTTGTTTTGTATATATAATTAGAATCCAAGCTACAAAATTATGACTTAATTGGTAAAAGCCTTATGAAGGTATTTTTATCTAATCATAAAAGTAGAAAATTATTCACATCTGCAACAATGATCATGGATATAAGCTTGCTCTTTTATGATGTGGACCTCAGACTCCCAGATCTACAGTCATGATCCACAACTCATATGGCACCAGTGATCATCACAGATCCAGCCAGCACCAGCCCTCCTTTGCTCGATTAATTTCTGCATGTTTGTTGAGCAATTGACTACAAGTACTATTGGGATATTATGAAACATAAATATCTCAGGACAAGATCCATGACTTTATTTGAAAGCTACTATGATTCTTTAGACATGATGAAGATCTAATTTCATTGCACATTCTTTATTTGACAATTGTATTTTCAATGCTGTGCTTCATTCACATGCCACATTTTCCCTTTGGCCATGGATGCCCTTCCAGGATAGTAAGAAGTCTTATATCAGTACAAGAATAGCCATTAAAAGCAACACAAACCAACACAAGAACACTTAATGTACTCACACTGTATCTATTATTACGAACCCAAAGAGCTAATCATGAAGATCACAACCAAAGGAGAATATGTAAATCAACTTTGGGGGAAATCCATCCCTAGAGTACAAAGCAGAAGAGAATATAAAAGAATGACATTCTGTTCACTGCTCCATGCACTCTGTTACTTGCCTTACTGCCCATCTCTTATCACTCATTTAATTATGTGTGACATGGTGATATGTCCTTTATGGGGGGGGGGGGAATTAGACATGGTTGTCACCCTACCAAGAACATAGACTATAGTTATAATTCATGTGGTATCCTCAGACATGCTGTAAGAATAAACTATTATATTCAGTCCTATTGGCCCTCTTGGTATGGGATTCTGTCTAATTAAAACATGCCAACAGACATGCCAAAATGGTTGGGGAAAACCCATGAGGCCTCTACCCTACACAAAGAACAACAAGCAACTGAAGAATTCTGAGATTGGAAGAAATAGTCTTCAGGGAAGAGCACATCAATTGTTATCCAATACTAAAAGGTCAGCCCTGAAAATATATGTATGAGTAATGGCATATAAACTGAGATTGTATTTATGATGTGTGTGTGTGTGTGTGTGTGTGTGTGTACATGTAATGTATATGCATGTAACAACATGAATTTGAATAAGGCCAAGGAGAGGTATATGAGAAGATTTAGAGGAAAGAAAGAGAAAGGAAAATGATATAATTAGATTATAATTTAAAAACATTTAAATGTCTTAACAACTCACCTTTATTCATAATTTTATTAAGTGTAAGAGTGGATTATCTGCTACTAGGTTCGTGGGTATAAGCTAGAAAATTGATGATGTGGACCTCAGACTAAGACTTGAAGTCACGATCCGACTCATAAGCTACCCACGGTCATCATTGATCCAACATCATCCCCTCCTTTTCTCTATGAATTTCCATGTTTGTTGAATGATAGCTCATTATTACTTTTGCAATAATCATCGATTGCAAATATCTGAGGCAAGATCCCTGAGTACACTTCAGTACTATTCAGGATCTTTTGCCACATTGTGTATCTCTTTGATAATACAATCTTAGTTGGGCACAAATTTTTGAAACATTGTTTTTCACCCAAATGCCATGCTAACAGTTTGGCCATGGGTGTGCTTCTAGATAACAAGAAGCACATCATCAATACAACAAAGAGTCTGTAAATGAATATTGACTATACTCACACTGTATCTATCCTATGAACACAAACAGCAGATCAAGAAGCTCATGACCAAGGAATGCGTGTAAAATCAGCTTGGGGGTATCTGTTCTGAGGGCACAAGACAAAAGAGAATACAAACAGATTGATTTACTCACTACATACAGATGCAATCTATTCACTTGCATTACCCCTTTCTTTTATCCCTATGTAAGTGTGCAATACACTATGATGCATTTTTTTGTGTGAGAAAACAAATGGCCAAGGCTCTGAAGCAACAGAGGACATTGCCTATAATTTTAGCTAATCTGGCATCCTCAGTCATCATGTCTGAATGAACTACTCTATTAAGTATATACTTTTAGTACTCCTGCTGTTCAATATTACCTTGACTAGAAAATAGCTTATCAATTAATTTTTATTTATACTTTTATCTAATTATAAAAGTAGAATCTGTCAGTAGGAACATGGGTATAAATTAGGTCTTTTATGATGCGGACCTCAGATTTCCAGACCTGTAGTCAAGACCAATGAGCATACACAACCAGTGTTCATCATTGATCCAACACCAGCTCTCCTCTTCTCTACTAATTTATAAATATTTAATAATGAAATTTATCATCATACTACTGAGTTTATTATGAATCACAAAAATCCAAGGGCAAGATTCCTAAATATACTTCAGTGTTCTTTTGACATTATGAGAAGGCCTTTTGTTACACATTCTAAATTTGACAAAATTTGTTAAATGATGTATTTTTGCACACATGAATACTAAACATATTCATATCTATCCTATGAATATAAATAGGGGCTCACAAAACCCATGACCAAGGGAGAACATGTAAAAGTCGCTTTAGGGTATCCTGAGATTACAAAGCAGAAGAGAAGTTTTCCTATCCATATGTTCTGTGTTCTTAAAATCACCCCTCTTCTAACCACTCCTAAATATGCAGTACACTATTTTGAGTTCTTTCTGAAAAAGTAAATAGCTGTGGCTCTGAACCTCTAAATAATATCCCCTAAAATTTTACTGAAATGGCATGGCATCCTCAACCATCAATTCTGAATGAGATACTATTGCTGGATATATATTTTAATACTGTTTTTGTGCAACTATGCCTTGATTAGTGGTGGTGGCACTGGACTTTAATTCCAGCACTTGGGAGGCAGAAGCAGTAGGAATCGCTGTGGGTTCAAGGCCAACTTAGTCTATGGAATAAATTCCAAGATAGCTAGGGCTGCACAGAGAATCCCTATCTCAAAAAACAAACTAAAAAATTAATTTGGAGGGTGGGTGGGGTGATGTGTTTCAAGACAAGGTTTCTCTGTGTAGCCCTGGCTGTCCTGGAACTCACTTAGTAAATTAGGTTTACTTCAAACTCAGATCAACTCACCTCTGCCTCCTGAATGCTGCTATTAAAGACATGTGCCACCATGCCTGACCCATAATTATTTTTATTGCCATTTTGTCTAATTTAAAAAGTAGGTTATTATTCACATCACTAAGATCATAAGTATATATTAGGTATTTTGTGATGTGGACCTCAGACTCCCAGACATATAGTCATGATACACAACTCATATGAAACCAATGGTCATCATTGACCCTACATTAACCCTCGTTTTTATGTTAATTTATTTTATTGAGCAATCAGTCACTAGTATTATTAAGATGATTATGAATCATAAAAATCTAAAGACTAGATCTTTAAGTATACTTTAAAGCTCCTTGGGTTCTTTTGACATGAGTGTCTCTTTCATTACACTTTCTTAATTTGATAAAGTTTGTTAAATATTGGGTTTCATGCACAAGTTATATTAACCCTTTGGCCACAGCTGCTCTTTCAGGATGATGAGGAGAACTTCATCAAAACAGGAACAGACATTAAAAGCAACACAAACCAACACAAGAACACTGAATGTACTCACACTGTGTCTTTATAACGAGCCCAAAGAGCTGATCAGGAAGCCCCAAACCAAAGGAGAACATGTAAATCAAGTCTGGAGGGAAATTCATCCTGAGTACAAAGCAGAAGAGAATATGAAAATATTGACATTCTGTTCACTCATCCATATACTCTATTTACTTGTCTTACCCATCTCTTATCACTCATATAATTATGTATGAAATTATGAAGAATTTTTCATGCGAAAACAAACATTACAGAGGCTTTGAGCCTACTGACAACATTGCCTATGATTTTACTTCATGTGGCTTCCTCAGTCATTCTGACTGAAGTGTTGTATTTTGCATGCATTATTATACACACTTTCTGTAGTTAGGTTTTAATTGGAATGTGCCTTGACAATTTATTTATATTTACATTTTTGTCCACTTGCTACAGTAGACTATCACTCATATTTTCTACCAGGTCATGGGGGTAAAGTAGATATTTTATGATGTGGACCTCAGACTCCCAGACCTGTCGTCATGATGCACAACTCATATGGCACCAGTGGTCATCACAAATCCAGCATCAGCTCCTGCTTTCTTGATTAATATCTGCATTTTTATTGAGTTAGGGATAATTACAAATCACAAAAATCTAAAGACAAGATCCATAAGTATACTTTAGGATCTCTTGCTATGCTGAGATTCTTTTTTGTTGCATATTCTTAAATGGACCAAGTTTATGAAACACTGTGTTTTATCTACTTATGATGTTAGCCATTTGGCCATGGTTGCTCTTCGAGAGGGGAAGCATTTCATTAATTCAGTGGGCAGTCTTTAAAAGTAATCCAAACCAATACATAACCACTGACTATACTCACTCAGTGTCTATGCTCTGAACATAAGTTTTACATCCTGAAGCTCACAACAGAAAGAGAATGTAGCAAATCAGCTTTGGGGAATGCATTCTGAGAGTAAAACAGAAGACAATCCAAAAAGATTGATATTCTGTATACTTATGCATACATTGGGTTATTCCTCTCTCTTATTACTTATATAAGTGCTTATTACTGTTTGATGTGTTCCTCTGAAGCAATCAAATGGCCACAGCCCTGGCTCTACCATGAACATTGCCAATGATTTTAGGTCATATGTTACACCAAATCAAGAATATGAATGGACTTCTGTGTTTGGCACATATATTTAGTATTTTGCTGTGGAAATTATAACTGAATTGGAAATTTACTTGACCAGTTTATTTATATTTTATCTAACTGTAAAAGTATACTATTCCTAACATCTGTTATTAAGATCACATGTATATGCTATTTTATGACGTGGATCTCAGACTCCCAGACCTGTAGTCATGATCCACAATTCATATGGCACCAGTGTTCATCAGTGATCCAACATTAACCCTCTTCTTTTTTATTAATTTATGCATTTTTGTTGAACAATTGATCACTAGTACTATTGAAATAATCATAAAAAACTAATGATATGATTATTGAGTATACTTAAGAGCTCCTCAGGATTTTGCAGTGTTGAGTATCTATTTTGTTATACATTCATAATTTGACCAAATATTATTAAATACTGAGTTCATGCACATTGCATATTAATCATTTGGCAATGACTGCTCATATGAAATGATAAGCAGTCTTTATCACTACAGGAACAGCCACTAAAAGCAACACGAATGAACACATGAACACTGACTATACTTACACTCTGTCCATATTATGAGCCCAAAGACATGACGACAAAGCTCAAGACCAGTGATGTATGGAGAAATCAGCCTGTGGGTCTCCATTCTGAGAGTATAAAGCAGAGGAGAGTATAAAAAGATTGACATTCTGTCTGCTTTCAATATCCATCTCCTCTTACCACTCTTACCACTCATTTGACAATGCAATACCAGATTGCGTGTTCTTTTTGAGAAAACAAGTAGCTGAGGCTCTGACTCGACCTAGAATATTGCCTCTAATTTTAGCTCATGTGGCATAATCTGTCATCAAGTTTGATTGAACTACTATGTTTGAAATGTATTATTAGTACTCTTTCTGAACAATTATGTCTTGATTAGAAAATGCATTACCAATTTACTTTTATTTATATTTTATCTAATTGCTAAAGTAAACTATTCTTAACATCTATTACTAAAAGCATGGGTATATGCTAGATATTTTATGATGTGGAACTCAGACTTCCAGACCTGTAGTCATGATCCATGACTCATACGCAAGAAGAGGTCATCATTGATCCAACATCAGCCCTCCGCTTCTCTAGTAATTCATTTGTGTTGAATGAGGAACTATTACTAGTACTACTGAAATTATAATGAAATATAAATATAAGGACAAGATCTTTAAATATACTTCAGAGCTCCTTGGGATCTTTTGCCATGGTGAATCTCTTTTGTTACATAGTCTTCATTACCAACAGTTTTGTGTGTCATGCACCTGCCATATTAACCCTGTAGTGACAACTGCTCTTCTCGGGCAGTGCACAACTTTGCAAAGCACACAAAGCTAACAGAAGAACATTGACTATACTCACACGTTGTCTATATTGCAAGCACAAAGAGCTGATCAAGAAGCTCACAACCAAGGAAGAGTGTGTACATCAGCCTGTGGGTGTTCATTCTGGCAGTATAAAGCAGAAGAAATTATATAAAGATTGATATTAGCTTCACTCATCCAGGCATTCTGTCTGTGTGTCTTTCCCCTTTCTTTTTAATTCTCATCTAAGTGTCATTATGCCATTTCGTGTTCTTCTTTACAAAACAAATGCCAGTGCCTCTGAACCTACCAAGAACATCAGCTTTAATTATAGTTGATAAGACAATCTCAACTATACTATTAGAAAAACTGCTTTGTTTTAGCATATATGATTAGTAGTTGTCTCATAGAACCATGTCAACTTTAAAAATGCCGTACCAACATACTTAGTTTTTATATAATTGTAAAAGTAGACTATCACTCATATTTGCTTCTGGGATGTGATACATAATCTACATATTTTATGATGTGGACCTCAGACTTCCAGACCTGTACTCATGATCCACGAATCATATGCCATCCATGGTCATCATTGATCCATCATCAGCCCTCTCCTTCTCTATTAATATCTATACTATTATTGAGCAATTGGTCAATAAAAATGTACTATTAAGATAATTATGAATCACAAAAATTCTAAGGAAAATATCCTTGAGTAGATATCGAACATCTACAGGGTCTTTTACCCTCTTGAGCATTTGTTTAATTTTAATTTTTAATTTGGTAAAATGTTGTTAAGCACACTACTTCACACAGAAGCTTAATTTACCATTTGGAAAAGGTTGTTCTTCTAGAGGAAGAGCAGTAGTTCAACAATAGTGTACGTAGTCTTTAGAAGTAACCAAACCCAAGACATGAACATTGACTACACACAATGGTGTCTGTCTTAGGACCACAATGACCAGAGCAGGAATCTCACAACCAAGGAAGAATATATACATCAGCTTGGGTTACCAATTCTAAGAATACAAAGCAGAAGAGAACACAAAGAGATTGATATTCACTTGATTTATCCATGAATTATGCCTACTTTAAGTTACTCCTCTCCTTATCAGTTCTCTATGTATATAATACACTACCTTGTATTCTTGTTAAGAAAACCAACACTGACCCTCCCAAGAACATTGCTTATAGTTTTAATTGATATGGCATGGTATTCTCAGCCATCAAATCCAAAGGAACTAATGTTTAGTGTCCATTTTAGTACTATTGTTGTAAAATTATGTCATGATTAAAAAATGACTTCTAAGTTAATTTTTATAATATTTTATCTAATTATAAAAGGAAACTACTCTTAATACCTATCACTGAGATAATGGGTATATACTAGGTATTTTATGATGTGGACCTCAGACTTTGAGACCTGCAGGCACAATCAACAACACATATAACAGCAGTGGTCATCGTTAACCTAACATCACCCCTCCACTTCTTTTTCATTTATGAGCAATTGACCACTAACACTCCTGAGATCATTATATATCAAAATACTCTAAAGACAAGATCCTTGAGTAAACTCCAGAGTTTCCAAGGATCTTTTGCCATGATTAGCGTCTGTTTTGTTATACACTCTTAATCTTGAAAAATGTTTTAAACACCCTTTGATGATGGCTGTTCTCAGATAATAAGTGGGTTTTTTTAAAAAATCAATATATGCACCATCACTAAAAACAACATGAACCAACACATCTATGCCCTCTACTTGCGTGTCTTGCCACTTTCTTCTTACCCTTCATCGAATTATCTATTGCACTAATATTTCTGTTTCTTGAGAAAACAAATAGCCATGGCTCTGACATACCATGAACATGCTTTAATTATGGTTTATATGACATCCTTAGTCATATATTGATATATATAATTAGGACTCTTCCTGTGAAGTTATCTCTTAATTGGAATATATGCTACAAAATTGTATTTATATTTTAAACTAACTGTAAGCATAGATTATTACTCATAATTGCTGCCAGCGATTATGGTATAAGCTAGAAAATATGTGGACCTCAGACTCCCAGACCTGTACTCATGATCCATGAATCATACGCCACCACCAGTCATCATTGATCCAACACGAGCCCTCCTCTTTTCTATTAATTGCTATGTGGTTTTGAGTAATTATTCATAATATTAAGATAATTATGAATCACAAAAATCTAATGACAATGTCTTTGAATATATTTTAGACCTCTGTAGGATCATTTGTCCTATTGAGTTAATCAATTAAGATTTATACAATCTTAATTTGGGAAAATTTTGTTAAACATTGTGCTTCACACAATTGCCATGTTTATCATTTTGCCAAGATTGCTCCTCCATTATACGCAGTGCTCCAACAGTACAATGAGCAATCTGTAAGTGACATAAACCAAGACATGAACACTGACAATACCCACACATTGTCTATCCTACAAACACAGAGGCTAGTTCATGAGGTTCAGTTCCAAATCAGATAGCATAAAATCAGCTTGCTGGATATCCATTCTGAAAGTATAGAACAAAAGAGGTTATAAAAAGATCAACCTTCTGTTCTCTTATCCACGCGAGCTATCTGCTTCTCTTGCCTATTTCTTCTTAACTCTCATCTAAGTGTTCATTACTCCATGAGATTTTTTTCTTAAGAAAACAAATGCTTATAGATATGCTCCTACCAAAAACATTGCTACAATTTTACTTTATGTGGCATCCTAGTCATCACTGGTGAATATACTACTGGGTTTGTGTATGTATAAGTTACACTTTTGTGGAATGATGTCTTGATTGGAAAATGACTTACTAATATTTATTTACATCATGTTATATTATTATTATATCAATTTATAATAATATTAATATTCATCTAATTATAAAAGTAGACTATTCGTTACATCTGTCACTGAGATCATGGATAATACACTAGCTATTTTATGATGTGAACCTCAGAATCCCAGACCTGTAGTCATGATCCACAACTCATACAACACACTCAGTCATCACTGATCCAACATCAGCCCCTCCTCTTCTTTATGAATTTACATTTATTAAGCAATTGATCATTGGTACAATTGAGAAAATTTTGAGTCACAATAAAGCTAAGTATGAAATTCTTGATTATACCATCCTAGGATCATTTGCACAGGTGAGTGACCTTTTAATTACACATTCCCAATTTGGCAAATTTCTTTTAGACATTGTGTTTCATCCACAAGCCAGATGATGAATAGTCCCTTTGTCAATTCAGGAACAGTCATTAAAAGCAACACAAATCAAGAAAAGAACACAGGATCTACTCACACAGTCTTTATCTTTTATACATGAACAGTGAACTTCAAATTCAGGACAAAGAAAAATACGTAAAACAGCTTGGAGGTATCCATTCTGAGAGTATAAAGCAGAAGAAATTATAAAAAGATTGGCATTCTGTTTACTTATCCATGCATTTTGTCACTTCTCTTGCTCATTCATTCTTATCATCCCTTATCTAAGTATTCATTACCCTATGGTATACTGTACTTAAGAAAACCAATGGCCAAGGCTTTAGTCCTACCATGAACATTGCCAATGATTAAAGCTCATGAGGCATCCTTAGTCATCATGTCTGAGTGAATTACTCTTTAGTATATACATTTAGCATTATTGTGATGGGATTATGTCTTAATTAGAAAAGGACTTCTAAATTTCTTTTAATTTATATTTTACCTAATTATCCCTAAGATCTCTCACTAAGATACTAATATACACTGGATAGATTGTGATGTGAACCTCAGACTCTCAGACCTGTAGTCACAATCTATGACTCATACAGCACCCATGGTCATCATTGATCCAACATCAGCCTTCCTCTTCTCTATTAATTTAGGCACATTTATTGAGCAATTGATCACTACTACTACTGAGATAATTTTAGCTCACAAAAAAAAAAAAACTAAGGACAAGACCCTTAAGTATAATACAGAGTTCCTCCATATCTTTTGCCAGGACCTTTTTCATTACATATCCTTAATTGGACAACATTTTATCCAATCTTGTGTTTCAAACACATACCACATTCAGTATTTGCCATGGTTGCTCTTATCAATACAGTGAATGGCCTTTTGAAGCATCATGAAGTGACATCAAAATGCAGACTGTATTCACACTGTGTCTATTTTACTGTCTGAAACAGCTCATTATGAGGCTCACGACCAAGGCAGAGTGTGAAAATCAGCTTGGGTGTGGAATCCATTCTAAGTACAACACAGAAGAGATCATTAAAAAAAATGACATTTTGTTCACTCACTCATGCACTCTGCTTGCATGAATTAATATCTCTTTTTTATACAAACCTAAATATGTATGATTCTGTGATGTGGTCTATTAAGAATAAAAACACTAGACATAGCTCTGACAATACAAAGAAGGTTGCTTATAATTTTACTTCATGTGGAATCCTCAGTCATCCTGTGCTTCATGAGCTACTGTGTTCATGAATATATTATCAGTACATTTAATAATATATTCACTAATACATTATTAGAACATTCACTGTGGAATTATTTTCCCAAACATATTTTTATTTTATCTATATGAGTATTTTTATATGCATGCATATATGTGTATCGAATGGGTATGATGCCTACAAAGGCCATAATAAGGTAACAGATTCCCTAGAACTAGAGTTACAGGCAGTTGTGAGATGCTATATTGGTGAATGAACCCACCGTGGGTCATATGCAAGAGCAGCTAGTTCTTCTAGCTACTGAGCCATCTCTCAAGCCCTAGAATTATTTTTTAGTTGGAAAGTGCCTTACCAATTTAGTTTTGTTAATATTTGTGTTTAATTATAAAAGATTATTCCTAGCATCTGTCACTAAGATTATGGGTATAGATTAGATCTTTTAGGATGTGGATGTTAGAGTCCTTAGACCTATAGTTATGATCCAAGACTCATTATGGCACCCACGGTAATCTTTGAACCAATACCAACCCTTAAAATCTACTATTTAAATTTCTATATTTGTTTCTTAACTAATCCATCATTTTACATGTAGAGTCCTGTGAGTTGCAAGGGCCTAAGAATGAGATCTTTGTGCATGCTTCATAGCCATGCATGTAACCTATTTTTGCATTTCCAGAGTGATTGTTACTTTTGTACATACTAACTAAGCAAGATTCCACCAGCAATGCTGACCTACAATGATGAGGTACTGATGACATACAGGAAGTGATCACCACTTACCCAACACTGCCCCACTCCTTCTCGCCCACATTCTATATTTCAATATTTACATAACAATTAATCACAAAATCCTAGCACAGGATCCTGATGTTTGAAGGTATTGAAAAGATCTTGTGCCACCCTATCTTTTCTCTCAATTTTGGATATTGGCAACATTGTGTGCTTTGTCATGTGGAGTGGGCACAAACTTATAGTTGGCCTTACAGGAGCCTCTGCAAGCCTTTACCAAGAAAGGAATGTTGTATGAAGGCCATGCAAACAAAGAAGACAACTTTGACTCCACTTACTTCAGTTCCCTTGATCCATATGCAAGAGGGCAGGGCAACCCAGGATCTTGCAGCCCAGCAATCATGTGTTACCCAGCATACATCCATGGAGTACATAACCGGGAAGGTAATAAAAACATTGATATTTTTCAAATTATTTCTACATTTATCATTTTATCATTTGTTATTTAGATTTTACATTGTTATGATAGTGTCTTAAGAAATCCAGTAAGATTCAAAATTAAGGTCTTGACCCTCACTGGGGCTTAACCCACTAATTATACTTCCTATGTGAACTTGGATAAAGTTTATATACATCTTGATGCCAATTGTTTTTTAACAGACTTTCATAGTATCCACAAATAATAGTAGCATTTGTGGTAAAATATTTATTTACTAGTTGATCAATGCCTCAAAAATTTATCTTCATTTATATTTGTGTAAATATTTATAAAATTTTTCATTGATACAACAAAGAAAATGCATGATGCTAATGACCACTATGTGCCCCAAATGCCTGACTTTTATTCCCTAGCTAAGAGGGGCACATAGGATGTATTGTGATGTGAACCTCAGACTTTTAATTGTAGTCATCGTCCATGACTAATATCGTCAGAACAAGTCATCATCGGTATATGTTAGCCTTCTTCTTCTCTAGTAATGTGTGTATGTTTTTTTTGTTTAACACATTAATTCAGACACAATAAAAGTGCCTCTGATATTATTTTGTTCTTCCGAATAACAAATCCCTTGCTCAGATACATTCAATACTCTATAATAACACAGAGCATTTTGCTGAGCAAAACAAGCAATAATATTGAATATTACTCACACAAGTTTTGGGTCTTCATGTAAACACCGAGAGGAAGTGTAGAGATTATGAATGTGGCCCAGTGTTTAAAGCAGACTGAAGCCAATCCTTCTGAGGGATGAGCACTGTGAATGATGAAAATTTCATGACTAACTAATGTAAGCTTTGTAAAACACTTTCTGTAGATGTTTGTGAATCTGTGGTAATAGATACGTACTTTCATTAAATAAAATTTGCGTCAGTAGTGTGATTCGTTTAAATGGGTATTGACTTTAGCAATATTTTTCTAATATTTTAAGAAACTAATGTCACCTTTTCCTCCTTTTAAGTATTAAAGCAAAGACCCAAAATGAACTGTGAAGCCAGAAGCTATGAGCACAGATTCCAGGATGTAGAACGCAGAGAGATAAGCAGCCATTTCTTGATTACCTGGGCATGACAGGTGCTTGTGTGTCCATTCTGAGGAGTATAAAGACAGAAATACTAAATGAATGGACAGATGGGGAGTCTCAGTTTATACTCAGATTTTTATAGCTAAGTGAACCTCAACAAAATTGATTGGGATTAACCTTGTGTTTGCTGTATACGAAGCTCATTGTAAAAGCTAATGAGTCTCCATTGGATACTAGATATAAAACAAAGATGACTAGACTGCTACTCACAACTCCAGGGAGGCTACCTAGAAAACAGGACCCTAAGAAAGACACAGGAATCGCCCAATGGCAGAGAAATGGATGAGATCTACATGAACAACCTGGATGTGAGTGGAGGTAATGAAGGGCAAGGTTCGAGGGAAAGAGAACTTAGGGGAGCAGGAGATCCCAGCTGGACCAAGAATAGAGAGGGAGACCAAGGAATAAGAGACCATGATAAATGAAGACCACATAAGAATAATAAGAAAAGTGCTAGAGAGGTCCCCAGAAATCCACAAAGATACCTCCAGATAGACTACTGGTAATGGTCAAGAGAAAGCCCAAACTGATCTACTCTGATGATCGGATGGCCAAACACCCTAACTGTTGTGGTAGAACTCTCACCCAATGACTGAGGGAAGCAGATGCAAAGATTCATGGCCAGGCCCTAGGTGGAGCCCCAGGAGTCCAACTGGTGAGAAAGAGGAGGGATTATATGAGTGAGAATTGTTGAAACCAGGATTGGAAAAAGCACAGGGACAAATAGCCAAATTAATGGAAACACATGAACTATGAAACAATAGCTGAGGAGCCCACAACTGGATCAGGCCTTCTGGATAAGAGAGACAGTTGATTAGATTGAACTGTTTAGGAGGCAAGCAGGCAGTGGGAGCGGGAACTGTCCTTAGTGCGTGATCTGGCTATTTGGAACCTGGGGCTTATGCAGGGACACTTGGCTCAGCCTGGGAGGAGGGAACTGGGCCTGCCTGGACTGAATCTACATGTTGAGCTGAATCCCCGGGGCAATCTTTGCCCTGGAGGAGAAGAAAATGGGGAGTGGACTGGGGGAAGGGGGGGGGGGGGGGGGAGGGGAGAGGACAGGGGAATCCATGACTGATATGTAAAATTAAATTAAATTATAAAATAAAAAAATAAAATTTAAAAAAAGCTAATGAGTCACTTAGAGTGTAAGAAGTATTAACTTTCCTACAACTGAATACCAGATAAAACCGTAAGAAACAAAACTGGTCCATGTGTCTGTCTAGCTACGCATTCCCTACTCGACGGGAAGTGCTAAATCTTCTGAGTGCACCTAGGTAGAAGGCAAGTAGATCCTGACTCAGTCTCTGCAGCTGTCTGTCAAATGTAAATATTCAAAGAGCCGTCTGGATGCATATGGGATTCTTTATTCCAGATATTTCAAGTAGACAGCATAGAAGTGGTATAACAATATAGTGTGTCTAAATAAACAGAGTCACCATTGAAAAAACATGAACGGTTCAGTTTATTTGCATTTTCTAGAGAGTCATTCGGGACTGGATTAACCATTCACCTGTTTCACTAAGAAGATCCCTACTACCCTACAATTTGGCTTCATTAATTGAAATAACAATACAGTTTTTCCATATTTATGATAGTGCGATTATAGCTATGATTAAAGAGAAAAAGAACAATATTAATGTCACAATATATCATATAGATGATATACATAGAGGTATATAGATAAACAGGCAGAAAAACAGACAGACAGATATATAGATGGATGGACAGATGAAGGGATAATTGGATGGATGAAGAGGCAGACAGATAGAAGGACAAAAGTTGGATATAAATAGGACAGAAAGATAGATAGATAGATTCAGACAGATATAAACTATCTAATTAGGTTATAAAGTATATGTTAGAGAAATTCTTAAGTATGCTTTAGAATAATTTTTGATTCAATGTGTCAACTGATTATTTTAATCTTAAAAATATTAAGAAACGGTGTCCAGAATATTTTCCATCTATCATTAACCAGATGAGACATTCTTGAGTAATTTGTAATTCCTTTAAGAATTACTAACATGGCCTCTTATACTGCCAAAACCCTAGGATAGCCTTGGACATCATGATCCAGATGGAAGGGTAACTCATCTTGGGAATATCCAGAGAGATGAAAGGAAGAATGGATTATAAACACAATCAAGTTCCATAAAATGACCCTGTGCTGTTTCTTTTTTATTTTATTTATCTAGCATATAAAACTATAAAAAATTCTTGTTGATAAAATATACAGGAGACTGGGTTCTAACCCTAACAAGAATTTGGAACACCATTTTAAACACAGCATCCTTAGCAAAGGGATTATACCTATGGAAATTCATTACTAGTGGGGTTCTGAACGTAGATATATATATATATTCTGTTAGCATTACTACTTGATATGATTGTGGAGAATATTTCCCCTATTATTATATTTTACTCTAATATTATAAATGTAATGAAAACTCATGAACAAAAATGCCATGATAATACACTATCACGCACTACACCTGACATCTATCACAATTCCACACTACATGAGTTCTGGTGTGAAGCTCAGACACTCAGACCTGTAGTCATGCTCCACGGATCAATCATCATCAGTGGTCATCACTGATCCAACACTGCCTTTTCCCTTCTCTCACACTTTCTATGTATGTATCACCTAACTGTCCGCCTCACTCGCAGTAGTCCTATAACAAGTCACAAAATCTGGATTTGTTTTAAAATTATGCAACAGATTTTGTGCCACCCTGATTCTGTCTTTCTACTTAATTTTGGAAATCCCCAACACGGTGCTCATGGTCAAGTTTAATTGAGCACGCAGTCTCAATGGCCTAACAGGAGCCTATGCATGCCTTTACCAAGACAACCTAAATGTGTGACCAAGGCCACCCAAAGCAAAACAAAAATCTTGACTCCACTTACATCAGTTCCCTTGATCCTCAACACATGGGGACAGGGCAACCACGGACCTCCCAGCCAGGAAACGCGGTGTCAATCATCATCCTTTCAGGAAGTACAAAGGAAGAATGATACTAAAAAAATTGATATTTATCAAATGATTTCCACATTTCTCTTTCAATATTTGTTATTTAGGATTCATATTGTTATGATAGTGTCTTAAGAATTCAAGTGAGATTGAAAATTAAGGTCTTGAACCTAAGTGGAGCTTAATCCATTAATTATATTTCATATATGAACTTGGATAAACCTTATATACATCTTTAAACCAATTAGTTTTTAACAGACTTCAAGAGTTTCTGCATGTAAAAGCAGAACTTGTGGTGAAATATTTATTTACTACTTGATCAAGGGCTCAAAAATTTATTTTCATTAGCATTTGTGTAAATATTTATATTATGTTTCATTGATCCTCAAAGAAAAATGCATGAAAGTGCATGTTACTAATGACAGTATGTGATCCAAATGCCCAACATGTGTTTCTTGGCTAAGAGGGGCACATAGGATGTATTATGATGAGAACCTCAGACACACAGAATTGTAGTCATCGTCCGTGACTTATATCGCCGCAGGGGAATTGTCATCATTGGTCCGTGATAGCCTACCTCTTCTCTAGTAATATGTGTGTGTTTGTTATTTAACACAGTAATTCATTAACAAATAAAAGTGCCTCTGATTTTATTTAATTCTTCAGAATAACAAATAACATGCTAAGATTCATTGCATACTCTATAGTAGCATAGAGAAACACACTGAGCAAAACAATACAATAATTTTGAATACTACTCACACAGGATTTGGGTCTTCATGTAAACACCCAGAGGAAGTGTAGAAATTATGAGTGTGGCCCAGAGTTTAAGGCACAGAAAAGCCAATCCTTCAGATGGATGAGCACTGCAGATGATGAAAACTTTATATAACTAACGTAAGCTTTGTAAAACTTTTTCTGTAGACGTTTGTAAATTTGTGGTAATAGCTACAGTATCTTCACTTAAAAAATTAAGTATTTGGGTCAGGTTCATCTTAATGTGTAATGATTTAATCATTATTTTTATAATAAACATTTAAGAAACTCACAATGTCAATCTTTCTTCCCTTTAAGTATTAAAGCAAAAAGAACAATGAAGACAGCAGCTTAGAGCATGAATTTCAAAATGTAGGACTCAGAGAGACAAGAAAGATTCCTTGATTAACTGAATATATCAGATATTTCTGTGAAAATTAAGAGGAGTATGAACAAGTAGAAAATCAGAAATATTAATGAATGGAGAAATAGGGAGACTCAGGCTACAGGCAGGTATTTAGTACCAAGCACCATCAAAAAATTAATTGGGACTAACTAACAGTGTTTGCTGTAGATGAAGCTCATGTCAAAGCCAAAGAGTCACTTACAGTGTTAGCTGTATTAACTTTCCTACAACTGAATACCAGATAAAACCGTAAGAAACAAAACTGGTCCATGTGTCTGTCTAGCTACGCATTCCCTACTAGATGGGAAGTGCTAAATCTTCTGAGTGAACCTAGGTAGAAGGCAAGTAGATCCTGACTCAGTCTCCGCAGCTGTCTGTCAAATGTAAATATTCAAAGAGCCATCTGAATGCATATGGGATTCTTTATTCCAGAAACTTCAAGGAGACAGCACCGAAGTGGTATAATACTATAGTGCATCTTAATAAATAAATAAATAGAACCACCTTGTAAAAACCTGAGTGGTTCACTTGAATTGGTCTTCTAAAGAGTCTGGGAATGGATGAACCATCCACCTGTTTGGCAACAGCAGGTCCTCACTAGCTTCCATTTTGGCTTCAAACTTTGAGGTAACAATACCCTGTTTCTGTATTTATTAGAGTGTCAATGCAGCTGTGATTCAACAGAAACAGTACAATAAAAAAGACAGATGTTATCATGGATATGATAGATGATGGATAGATAGATAGATAGATATATAGATAGATAGATAGATAGATAGATAGATAGATAGATAGATAGATAGATAGATAGATAGGATACATATATACATACATTAATGAAGGAATTATAGTTCAAGATGGATAGACAGATACATGGATAGAGAGAAAAACAGATACAGATAAATACAAGGAATCAAATATGTCATTAAATATGCTTTAGAGCACTTCTTAAGAATACTTTAGATCAATTCTTTGATTCAGTGTGTCATGAGATTTATGTTAAAGTTAATGATATTAAGAAACTGTGTCCATGATATTTTGTATCTGTCTTCAACTGGATGTGTCCTTCTCGAGCAGTGTGTAATTCATTTAAGAATAAGGAGAAGCAGTCGGAGTAACACAGGAAAATAGACTGTCCTTACCTGGTCACTGTGCTCCCAAGACCCTAGGCTCGCCGTAGACATCGTGATCCACAAGGAAGGGCAACTCAGGAATATCCAGAGAGATGAAAAGAAGAATGGATTATACACAAAATCACAAAATCATGTTCTATATAATAATCCTTGTGTTGTTTCTTTTTTATCTCACTCATCTACGAATACAAAACTTTGATACATTCTTCTTGAGAAAGTACACGGGAGACCCGGTTCTAACCTGAACAAGAATTTTGACCAACAATTTATCATTTTATGTGTTTATTTATTTTAATTTAAGAGTTCTTTTTTCACATTAGATACCAACCACAGTTCCCTCTCCCCTGCCCGCTGC